TCAGTGTTCCTGATGGTGCACCTCCATCAGTCTCCTGAAGGAGTTGCCGGCTAAGGAGAAGGTCTTTTTTATGCTTAATTTGCTGGATATATATATATATATATATATATATATATATATATATATATATATATCATGATTCAATGATAACTCTATTTGTTATTTTGCAATGTTAGAAACTGATGCTTTTGTGATAATTCTCATTCTGCAAAGCTAGGATACAAAGTATCAGTATCTGTGGAACTGCAAAGATCAACTACATCAGGTCGGTAATTGTTATTATTCCTCTCTTTCAGATGTACAGTAAAAGCTTTTATCAACTTTGCTCATTTGTTTTCTCAATGTATTGTATTGATAGGCATCCCGGATTATACTTGCCACTGATGGGGATGCACCTGGCCAAGCTTTGGCTGAGGAGCTTGCTCGCCGCCTTGGGAAAGAAAAGTTCGAAATTTTGTCTTGATTTTACTACTAACATAAATTCTTGTTGATCTATTTGATTCTTTGGCATTCTTTTGATTCTTTATATATTGTTTCCAAATTTTCATGGTCACATAAGACACTGGATTTTTTCACTAATCTACTCTGTAGTTTGTTCATTTTTCAATTTTTTTAAATTAATGGGAGGATTTATTTTCTTCTATTTACACTTGTGTCATATTTTCTGTTGATAACGTTGTTCTGCAAGAATGAAGAATAACCTTGCTTTTGTGTGCTTGCAGATGCTGGCGGGTCAAGTGGCCTAGAAAAGGGGCGGTCGATCATTGCAAAGATGCAAATGAGGTCAGATATCAATATGCATGCACAAGTTCCTCTTCACCTGCGCCTTTACTTTCAATCTTCCCTTAAAAAAAAAACGAAAATATAAAAAGAAAATGATGCATGTGTAAGTTTTCTCTAGACAACTTTTATTTGGATACACTGAACAATGTCAACTGACAATCAAGATGCATGTAATAGACAAAATTGTATTGGTTACTCTTCTTAACCCACTTCATGTTTACATGCATTAACATCTAACATTAATATCACCTTTATCCTAAACGAATAGTATCGGCGGTTGATGCCCAAATAAAAAGCAAAATGTTTACATGCATGGTCTAGTTTATTATTCATCAATACATGCCTTGTTATTGTTAATGTTTATATTGGTTCGATTAGAATTATACATTTTCTTTTCTGGTGCATGCCATTTATGTTGGTCTAGCGCTTATGGTTTTATTGACATATATATATTACTCTGTTTTTTCCCCTTTCCTGGTTTGTTTGTGTCAACTTATTATGCAGAGCCATTTGAAGTTGTTTGTGTGAAATTTTTGCTCTTTGATAACTGAAACAATCTTATCACATATTTACAGGTTCTCATGTATTTGGGCCCTGATGCACTGAAAGAAATGATTGAGAATGCAGAATTATATCCCATACGTGGATTGTTTAACTTCAGAGATTACTTTGATGAGATTGATGCATATTATCATCGAACTTTAGGATATGACATTGGTGTCTCAACTGGGTGGAGTAATCTGAATGAGCTATACAATGTAAGGGCAGTTTATTACATTTCTCTATCTCTTTAATACGTGTTAGATATGTAATATAAAACCATTCATGTACCTTCACCAAATAGTTTAAGCTTTTGGGAGAATTGGTTCATCGCATGGTATTTGAGCCTCTGTCACCAAGTGGTCTAGAGTTCAATCCTTGCCGCCCCTATTCTCCTAGCGAAAAGTTAAATTTCAGCACAAGGTAGGTGAGACTGTGCATTGTCCACTCTTCAAGTTCAGAGGACTTTTGCATGGGGATGTGTTAGCAATGTAATATAAAACCATTATCGTACCTTTACTCAACTGCTCGAGCTTTTGGGAGAAGGCACCTAGATGGTTTTATTATATCTCTAACTTATTTATATTATATCTAGCAATATGATACTAACATTTTGTTGTATATTTGTTTAGTTTTAGTTTTAGTGTTTTTTTGTTTTTTTTTTTGAGGGGGGGGGGGGGGGGGGGGGGGGGTGTTAAGAATTTACCAAACAACATAATGAACCACCCTGAATGCAGCTTGTCCTATTTATGTGGCTAGATTAACACCCGTCTATAAACAAAGAAAAAATTTGAATCATGTAATAAGATATCAATGAATTATTTCCATAAAATGGGATATTAGTGTCTGAATTGGGATTGGAACACTATATTTTAATTTTAATTCGAATATTTTTAGAATTAGAATTGGTTCAGAATCTTAAATTTTATGCTTGTGTATGCCAAAGAATTAGGATGTGAAATTGTACTTCTGAATTCAATTCTAATGTTGTTTTTTAAATGTATGATAAATGAATTTAGAAAATTATTTACAAAATAAAAAATAATATTAATACAATAATTTTTTATAATATAAGCTATAACTGTAATATTTTTTTTCCTCATAAATAGTATTTTTATAAAAAAATTGGAGTATAGTATTTTTTTATATTATAATAATTTTTTTATAAGAGATATAACAATAATTATAGGTAGGTCAGGATAATATCAAAATATATTATTTTAAACATTATTATAATTATTTACTTTAAAAACTTAAGCTATAAAAAAATATCAACTGAGTACAAAAGTTTCACTATTATTTACAAATAAAAAAATTATATATATATATATATTCAAATAATAAACGTATAAAAACTTAGGTACTGATTTTATAATTTATAAAAATATTAGTTCTTTAATTTTTTATAGTATAAATTTTTGCAGTTTGAAATTATTTTACTGTAAGGTAAATTATATTGAACATATTTTCAGGAAAAAAATTAATGGAGAGAGAGACTTTAATTTTGAAATTTTAGAATTGACAATTCTTAGGGTGTGTTAAGAATTTAGTAGGACTTGTGTTAATTGTTTTTCAATTCCATGGAATTGGTTTATGGAAAAACAATTCAAGTATGACATGTCAAAATTTGTATGAGACATTAGTTTCACAAGCTAGAGTTGCAACTTGGTAGAATTTTACGTAACTGGTTTTCCGTGTATATATTATATTGATTTATTTCTCATAATTAAGAAACAATGAAAAGAAAGACCCAAGAGAATAGCATCCACTGGATGTTTAAACGCTCTGAATTCCAGAAGTAACTAAGAATATCCAGAAGATATTATATATTATTAAACTATATCGTAATATAGTTTAGAGTATCCCAAAGGATCACTTAGGATTAGTTTCCCTATTTCCTGATTTGTTTCGTTATTTTAGGATTCCCCTATTTAGTATATATAGGATTATTCCCCTATTTAGTATATATAGGATTTAGTGCTTTGTCTTTTGTATTATTGATTCTTCTTACTTTAACTCCATCTATAGCTTGGACCCAATAATTTCAATATGGTATTAGAGTGACACTATCCTTTGTGACATGTCCCGTGACTATTCCGTTGTTGAGTTCCCTTGAAGTTCAGAGCTCTACCTTTTTTCTTTTCTTTTCATGAATGTGTTCCTACACCAGTTTCATTCTCCACTGCCGTGTCTTCATTCCAGCTACAACTTGCATCTTCTGGCCGCTATCCGCCGCTGTCCCTTTGTCGTGTCGTCTTTCCTTCAACTTTCTATCGATTGTCTCAGTTGATGCCTGGTCTCGTTGGATTGTCCCAATTGCTGTCTAATCCATTGAGCTTTGGGCATCCTAAGTTTTCTTATGGTTTGAAGCTTCCAAATGTTGTTCTTCATGACCTTAGAAGAGAAGTTTTAGTTCTTGTTTTGTATACTTGCTTGAAAAGACAATTCTGCCGATGGTTATTAGCAAAGTCTCTTTTCCTTGGTCAAGCTATATTTTGACCAGCTCTTCAAGGTGATCGTCATTCTAGCTTATTGTAGTATAATATAAACCATTAAAAAGGCCTTCACCCAACAGCTTAAGCTTTTGGGTTAAATTGGTTCCTTATACGGTATTAGAGCCTCGTGTCCCGGGTTCGATCCTTACTACCCCCACTCTCTTGTGGAATTTTCTTAGCACGGGTAAGTGGGCTTGTGCATTGTCCACCCTTCATGCCCAGTATAAACAACTTCAATTTTCTGTTGGAGTATAATATAAACCATTAAAAAAGTCCTTACCCAACAGCTTAAGCTTTTGGGTTGAATTGGTTCTTTACATAGCTATACATTTCTGCTGATAGTCATTGTTGGACAAAGGGCTTCAATACTCAATATGGGATGAATTGAGTTTTATAAAATCTTTTGGAAAAATGCCTTTTTTGCTATTTTGAAAATCGATTTCTTCAATCTTTGATTTAAGATAAACAAGTCTGAGTGAAGGTACAAGTGTGTGATGAAGGAAATGTACTAATGAGTGAGTGAGCACAATCAAATAAAGCAATTAAAGGGCTGAATGTAAAGAGTTTAGAGATATCACATACAATTTACCCTGGTTTGGTCACCACCTGATGGGCCCGGACAAGTGGGCCCAAGTCCAGCAATGCTTATGTGGTTATAAGCAGGGGAAGGGGGTGAGGGAGAGGCATGGAAAAAGTAAGCTAATCATTGGGGTAAGGAAAAGGAAACTCTGCAAGATAGGGTTGTTTCTTGTGGAGGGAGAATTTGTATGGGTCTTGTTATTAATTGAGTCTTTGATTTCTGTTATGGAGTCATTGCTGAGTCTCTGGTATCTGTTATCGAGTCATAGTCATTTGTAATTCAGTTGTTTTGCATATAGAGTCTGCATTGTGTCCTTTAATCTGTAATCCCTTGTTAGTGCTGTCCAAGTGGTTCGACAAGTGTTCTGGGTAAACATTGTAGGGGTTGTATCCCCAGATTGTGGTTAATTCAATAGCATTTTCTGTTTTATCAAAGACTGGTGCAATCACTATCACTTGTGACCTATGTCCAAATTGCAAGCCCAAACGATTCTTCCAATATAGGTCAAGCTTCCCTGGTGCTTGAAAAACCTTTATAAACTTTAAGCTTATAGGTACTTGAAAACCTTACAATCCCATACACACTTTTCTTGATTTCTGATAGCTGTGATAGTGGGCCAATTTCTTCGAATATTCCACAGAATACTCCACTGCTTTAGTTTTTGATTCCTTTCCTGTTAGTGAAGGATCCGGCAGGTTAAAACAGAATCTAAATTTTCAAAAAGAAAGAGCTGAGAAACAAAGAAGAGAGAAAGAGAAAGAACACTTCTGTATTGATTTACTGAATCACAATGAAAGAACAAAGAAGACAATCCTCCTTCCAAGCGTTTCCTCTTTTACAATTGAGCCACTATCCTTCTTTTAATACTAACAAATCTCAATGCCTCTCTTCTATCGTCTCCTACTATTTATGCTAATTCCCTACACCTAACTACTTTAACAACCCAACCACTTCACTTATATAACTATTCTTAGTAATTACTCTCTGAGCCCTATCATGCTCCTCCTCCAAGCTTGAATTTGAAGTTTGTGTTTCAACCTGTAGACTGTTCAATCTTTCATTTCTTGTCAACTTTTAGCATTCACTGATTTTGTAATAGGAAAAATTCCTTTCAACCGCCACCGAACTGGATAGAAAGTCAAAGTTATTTATTTCTGTTTGATTCAGGTTTTTTCTTTTTCTTCTTTTTTTTTCCTGTTGTTGCATTTTGACTGGGAAGTGGATTTATTAAGTCGTTCAATGTGTCATTAGGCATAAAAGGAAAGGCGCAGTTTGTTGTGAACTGTGATTGGATTGGTGTGTGAAAAAGAATTAATGATTTAGAGTTTGTATTATGTGGAATATAGTATATTGGATTCATTGTGCATTTAATTGCAATTTACATATATTCAGTTCCTGTCTTGTTTTCGAAACACTATCTTGAATAATTATTGATGGAATTTTCTTTGAAAAAAATTAGTTGTTTAGAAATTAATGTTTCTAATTCTATATCATGCTTTTAATATACTTTTGACTGCTTCATGTCTGTGATTTGATCTGCAAACAAAAATGACCAAGCATTATGATGGAACCTAATATTATTCATAAGAAATTGCAGAAATATAAATGGAGACAAACTCCTTACAAGGATAAATTGCAGACAATATAAAAGAAATACAGAAAATTAACACCCAAAAGACCTCACTCACTCTAAAGCCAAATACCTAGGCCAAAGAGATCCCAAGAGATCCTTTCCCAAAACCCCACTCCAAATATTCTGAATGAATAAATCCCTCACACTCCCACATCCCCTCCTTATATCCTATTATTTAGGATTATTCTAGAATAATTTCCATAACAAACTAACTAATTCACTAACTAATTTTGCATTGCTACTCTTGGGCCCACTAATCCTAGCCCATCACATTATCCCACTCAGTGGGGACATTGTAATTTGATCTCTTCAAATATTTTTTGACCAATGTATTGTTTACTTGGCATATAGTAATAATAGAACTTCTTTTTTTATGTAACTGGAAATGGAGATATCAATATTTTCTAATTAAATTACTTTTATCAGGTTGTACCAGGAGAACTGACCATAGTAACTGGGGTTCCCAATTCAGGGAAGAGTGAGTGGATTGATGCTCTTCTCTGCAATCTTAATCGAATTGCTGGCTGGAAATTTGCGCTTTGTTCCATGGAGAATAAGGTCAGACAGTTCATTCTCGACTTCTAAAATTAAGTTTGTGTTATTTACCAAAAAAAGTTTGTCATTACAACTTCAAACTGTAAGAATAATATTTTTCTTAGCCTGTTGCAAGATATCTATCTATTGGACACTTTATTGAAGTGATTCTAAAATGGTAGATCATTTTTAGATATTTGTGGGAATAGTATGAGAATTCCTGTGCTTACTCGTGTATTTCCATTGCGATTTTATGGTTTGTTTCTGTTATTCAGATTTCAGAGTTCTTTTTCTCAGATAAGAAAAATAAATAAATTATTTCTCTTTCCCTCTAGTTATACTTTCTCAGCCATGGTCTTTTTATTGCATATGATGATGATTTGTTGTCGTACATTTACTTAACTGAATTGGTTTCAGAAAACCATTGATTGCTTAGCTGGTTCAGGATGCTCCTTGTTGCATAAACGTCATTGGGTGAATTAAACTGTTCTATTTGTCTCCAATATGCTTCTATATTAACTTTACAACAAAAGCCCTTTTCCACTTGATGGGGCTGGCTATATTGATTAAACACAGCCTTGTGTTTTGTGAAAATCCCTGTTCATATTAACTATGGAATTGTTAAAACGTTTGGGAAAACGTAACGCTTCAGAGTGAATAGAAGTATAACTCAATAGTTATCAATAGCGCCGCTTTTGCATGCTATTGCGCTATTGTAGTGCGTTGTGGCAACCAGCCGTGACGCAACGGTTTGTGGTAACCTATGTTGCACCGACATCTACACGGGACCCGGGATACGACACGACATTCTGATACGTTAATTCTAAAAAATGTTAGATTTCGACACGTTAGGACAAGTTTTGATATCAAATAATATTTTTAATTTATGTAACGTATATTATATTTAATATTTAATAATTTAACAAAAAAAGGAAACTAAACGTATAATACTCATCAATTTTGCAAAGAAACATAACATGTAAATATTTACTATTATATTTTCAAATTGAAAATCTTTTATACACTCCAGTGAGATATATTTGGTATCAATTGAATCTGAAATATATTGTATATTCAAGTGTGTAAGTCTGTACAAGGAGGCTCTCTATTTATAGAGACTAAAAAGACCTAATGGGATGACCTAATGGGCCAAGCCCACAATCTAGACTATTCTAATAATAATAAAATAATATTATTTCTAACACTCCCCCTCAAGCTGGTGCGTATATATCAAAAGCTCCCAGCTTGTTACAAATATGATCTATTCGGGGACCTCTAAGAGCTTTAGTGAATACATCCGCAAGTTGATCATTGGAATTGACAAATGCTGTCTCGATCTCCCTTGACTGGATCTTTTCTCTAACAAAATGAGAGTCAATTTCTATATGCTTGGTCCTCTCATGAAAGACTGGGTTAGAGGATATATGCAAAGCGGCTTGGTTGTCACAAATGAGCTTCATAGGCCTTTGTTCACAGAGATGGAGTTCCTTCAGCAATTGTCTCAGCCAGATGAGCTCACAGGTTGCATTTGCCATTGCCCGATATTCTGCTTCCGCACTGGATCTGGCGACCACAGTTTGCTTCTTACTCTTCCAAGAGATCAAATTTCCTCCGAAAAGAACACAATACCCTGAGGTGGATCGTCTATCTGAAGGAGAACCTGCCCAGTCAGCATCTGAATAACTAGAGATCTCTGAACTCCCTTTATTTGTATATAATAAACCTCTTCCTGGCGCCTTTTTAATATATCGGAGAATTCTAATAACTGCATCCCAATGGGAGTCACAGGGAGAATCAAGAAATTGACTTGCAACACTCACTGCGAAGGAGATATCTGGCCTTGTCACAGTAAGATAATTCAATTTTCCAATTAGTCGGCGGTAGCGACTAGGATCTGGCAGTGGCTCCCCCTGTCCTGGTAATAACCTAACATTGGGGTCCATAGGTGTATCAATGGGTTTACAGCCTAACATTCCAGTCTCATCTAGGATATCCAGTGCATACTTCCTCTAACAGATGGAAATGCCCCGCCTAGACTGTGCAACTTCGATCCCCAAGAAATATCGAAGTCTGCCAAGATCTTTGGTCTGAAATTGATTGAATAAATGCTCTTTCAACTGATCAATCCCGATCTGATCACTGCCTGTAATGATAATGTCATCAACATAGACCAGGAGATAAACGCACTGGCCAGAAGAGCTATGCCGGTAAAAGACAGAATGATCGGCTTTGCTTCTGATTAAGCCAAAGGATTCAACAACTGAACTAAAGCGGCTAAACCAGGCCCGAGGAGATTGCTTCAGGCCATATAAAGATTTCCGAAGTTTACATATCATTCCAGAACTCTCCCCCTGAGCAACAAAACCTGGTGGTTGCTCCATATAAATTTCTTCCTGCAAGTCACCATGTAGAAAAGCATTCTTAATATCAAGTTGGACCCCAAATATCAGAATGAACAATAGAAAAGGGAGCAGCAACTCTTTTATTGACTCTACTAGCAAAGGAAGAACGAGTATGCTTTCCCTGCTGACAAGACTGACAATTCAAAGACTTAAGACCTGACAAAAAAAGAACCATATGCTGAAGCTTCGAGAGACTTGGATGACCCAGACGGCTATGGAGAAGCTCAGGAGACTCTGTGAGAGAGCATGCAACTGGAGCAGAGGGTGCATGCAGATAGTAGAGACCTCGTGACTCACCGCCCGCTCCAATCGTCTTCCCCGTACCCGGATCCTGCATAGAAAAAGACTGTTTAGAAAATGTGATAGAGCAAGAAAGAGAATGGGTCAATTGACTAACAGAAATTAAATTAAAAGGAATGCCAGGGATGTAATAAACAGAGGTTAAAGTCAAGAAGGGAGTTGGTTTGGCTTGCCCAATGCCACGGGCAGGAGCCTTGGTGCCATCAGCAAGAGTAACAGAGGGAAGATTATTAGAAAATGTAAGGGAAGTAAAAAGATCCTTATTACCACAAAGATGATCAGTAGCACCTGAGTCTATTATCCAGGGTCCAAGAGACGATTGAGAAAAACAAGCAACATGATTACCAGTATCTGGAGCAGGTGGCTGAGAAGAACTCTTCTGGAGAAGGGCCTCATAGTCTGCAGCGGAAATAGTCACTGATCCGGTAGAGGGCGGCACAACATCTGTTTGAGCAAAGTTCATATGTGGTGGCTTCAAGTGAGGGTACTTTCTATAACAACGTTCTTCAATGTGGCCCAGATATTGGCAATAATTACACCGAGGCCTTTGTCCTCGGCCACCCTGTTCATACGACATCGTCTGTCCGCGCCCGCCTGGGCCATATGATGTCATGGGCCCGCGACCGCCTTGTCCGCGGCCACGACCACGACCGCGTCCACCATTGTTCCAATTACCACGAGAGACTAAAGCAGCAGAATCAGACAAGAGAGCAGTAGAGTCAGTAGCTGTGACGTGTGCGGGGGCCACCTTATCTTGAAGATTCAGAAGGCGCTGAAAGGTCTGGGATATGCTGGGAATCGCAGTACTGGTTAGAATGTTCTCACGAACACTTTCTAATCCGTCAGGGAGACCAGAGAGAGTCACAACCGTAAAGAGACGCTCCACTTGCGTCCTGTACACTGTAGCATCTGCAGCATGAGGTAACATAGCCAAAAATTCCTGCATCAAAGAACGAATCTTACCAACATAAACTTCCATACGAGCTTCGGGTGATTTGCGCAAATCCATTATTTGGGAGACAATGGAATAAAGTTGTTGAATATCATTGGTGTAGAGGTTTTTGGCTTCCGTCCACACATCATAGCAGGTCTCAAAAGGAATGAAAATATTGAGAAGAGATGAATCAATGGATTGCCAAAGAATACTGAGGAGCTGAGCATCAACTTTCTCCCATTCAGTCATCTGATCTTGGGAAATATCAGTCTTCTTAGTGGTGAGATGTTTGTCATGGCCTTGACCGGTAAACCAGATCTTAACGGAGGTAGACCAGGTCTTGTAAGTGGCAGATCCGGTCAATTTCAGAGTTGTGATAGATGGAATAGCACTTGAAATGATGCCGGAAGAATGTTTACTGGTTCCTTCCATCAGGAACAGCGATCAGACAACCAAAAAACTGTAAAAATTACGCGAAAAAGGAACAAAGTAGCGACTTTTGCACTGGAAACCCTCGAACGGAAGAGACCCACAACGATCGGTCACTGGATCTGGAAGGAGGAGGCAGAGGCGAGCCTGTCTGCCTTGGTTTGGTCGGAAAAGGTGGCCGGAACAGTGCACACGCGCCGGAGAAAGGTGGCGCGTGAGGCCCACGCGCAGACAGCTGTGGTAGCGCGTGGAGGCGCGTGCGGCGGCCGTTTGGGACGGGTCTTGGACAGAAATGGTCGCCGGCGTGAGGGGATCCTGATCGCGTTTTTTCTCGCCGGAAAGGTGGCCGGAACAGTGATGAACAGTGACGGAACAGTGTTTCTGGCGATGTGAACAGTGTTTTCTGGTCAAATAATGAAGGAGGATGACGATCTGAGATCGAAAAAGGGTCTAACAATGTTCGGAGGGTTGAAAAGGGTTGCCGGTATGATGCATGACGGTAAAAAGGTTTGCCGGTATGATGCACGGCAGTAAAACGAAAGGAAAAGATATATATGCGGAAGCAGAGCCCTCAGATCGAGAGCTCTGATACCAAATTGAATCTGAAATATATTGTATATTCAAGTGTGTAAGTCTGTACAAGGAGACTCTCTATTTATAGAGACTAAAAAGACCTAATGGGATGACCTAATGGGCCAAGCCCACAATCTAGACTATTCTAGACTATTCTAATAATAATAAAATAATATTATTTCTAACAGTATCCATTTTCAATTTTTTGGGAAAACTTCATAAACCCCCCGGGTTTTGCTTCTAAATCATTTACCCCCCTGAAGTATTTTTTTTATCATCTACCCCTTGTGCTTTGATTCATAATCAATTATCCCCCTCCACTTGTTTTCCATCCAAATTTAACTAACGGTGTTAAAGTTTAAACAAAATTCAAAAATAGTTAAAAATTAAAAAAAGCCAAAATCTATGCAGGTTAAGGCACCAGATGTTGTTTCTCAGAATAAACCCAGATACCAGGTGTTGTTCTTGTTCAATCTAATTTACTTTGTGTTTATTCTTGTAATGCTGCCTCATTTGAACAATTTATTGTCTATTCTATTGGGATGATGTCTTTAATCCCTGGTTCTTTGTTGCCTTCCCTTTCCTTAATAAAAGGGTGAAGCTTATATTTGGAGACTATTCGCAGATAACTTTTGTGATGTGACAATTATTATCTAATGCATTAGCAAAATTGGACTAAGCAGTGTTTTTGTTTTCTGGTTCTCTAGATCAAATTTCATAGCTGGTATTGAGTTTATAAAGCCCTGAAGTTTGCATACATTTTCCTACTCTTTGTTAAATCTTGTCATATAATTAATTGTGAGCGGCTGTATGATGCATCATTGTTTGAGGGGAAGGTGATTTCTAAATTTCCATTCTCGTCTTGGAGGGGACAAATGTGGTAGAACCGTTTAAGGGTTGAAATTTCATTTATGCACTATAAATTTTAAGTCTGTCTATCATGAATGCCTAAAACTTTTCTTTTAATATGGATATATTGCTTTAATTTTAACCATCGATTTTATCAATAGTATTCTATTCAAATTATCTATTCTTCAATTAAAAATTATTCATACCATCTGTTCCCACTTTTGATCATGATGCTAGACAGCCTAGACTGCTTGTGTCATGTTTCTTTAAACTTGAATTTTACATTTTTACACCACATTGTATTTCTATGGAATTTGTATGAACAGCTTCTTGTATCTGAAATATCAAATTCATTCTTCAGGTAGTTAGCTTCCCATTTGATGATCAAAATTGCCCACCAATTCAACTAATTATATCATTTTGCCAAATTGCGTACTCATGGTTGAAAGAAGACATCGAGAATGTCGTGGTTGTCCACTATAAGGCTGGAATGCAAGGACTGGGTTGATGATTTATAGTCTACTCTTGTTTTTGAATTTTGTTTAAACTTTAACACCGTTAGTTAAATTTGGATGAAAAACAAGTGGAGAGGGGTAACTGATTATGAATCAAAGCACAAGGGGATAAAAGAAATACTTTAGGGGGATAAATGATTTAGAAGCAAACCCCGAGAGGGTTTATGAAGTTTTCCCTAATTTTTATTATATTAGTTTGATAAAACATCGATAAACTTTTTCATGATATGTAATGAAATTTCAAATATTATAGATGTCGGAACGTGTTAGAGTATGGAGGTGTCGTGGAGTGTTGGAACGACACTTCAGGTTTTTTGAAGTGTCAGTGTTACATAGGTGGTAACGACTACAATAGGTCAAATTGCAGCCAATTGCGGCGCTATTGCAACACTACAACGAAAGGGCATAAGGTTCTGCTTTTACCCTTGATTTAAAGTGCCAATAGTAATATTTTAGGGGTTTAATAACCTTTTAACCCTAATTTTATTTTGAACCCCACACTCTTTCTCTATGTATCGACCTAAACCTCCCTTTCTCTCTCATCTCTCCGCGACCAGTGACCAATTTATGTTTCCGGCAACCAGCTTCTCTCTGTTCCAAACATTTTGGGTGGGTTCTTTGGTTCTAAAGACATAATTAAAGATTTATAGCATCTTTGGATTCTCTGATAGGGTTTATTTTCCTTAGTTTAACGATTTAATTTAGCGCTACCCACTATAGTGTTTTTGGGGGGTCAGCTGCTACCTGCATTTGATAACTACAGTACAATTATAACCTACATCCGAATGCTTGGAGGCAAGTCTGCTATCATTTCCATGTACATATGGCCCTGAAAATTTATCCGTTCACAGGCTGTTAGTGGAAATAAATAAAAAATCCTAAACCTAAGTCTAATTGCTTTAAGCTTTGATATGATATGGTTCCTTAACATAGTATCAAAGCCTCTTTTGTCAAGTGGTCAATAGTTTGTTAAAAGCCACCCTTATTCTCTGACTGAAAAAAAAAAAAAAATCAATGCCAGCTAAAGTGAGATTGTGCTCGGCCCACATTTACATTGTTTCTTTGATTAGCTGTATTGTTTTAGCATACTACTGCATGTTCAAAATTATTCTTTCAGTTAGTTTCAAAGTTTGTTAGAGGCTATGAGCAGTGAGCACCAATATGAAGAATTTTTTTTTCCCAACATAGCGGACAAGTCTAATACTGATACGTTAGGGACATGGATATTGCCGTATCGGATGGGTCAGGAACCTTGGTCGCCAGTGATTCTGTTCTTGTCTTCTATACATGTGAGAAAGAAAGAGGAGAGGAGAGAATATGGCTGGCTGTGCGTGTGAGAGAAAGAGAAAGAGAGAGGGAGGAAGCATTATGACAGAGGGCAGATGAAGAGGTGAAGAGGAAGGAAAGTTAGGTTTTTTACTTCATATTAACCTAATATGACTAAGGGTCTTTCTTTGGGAATGAATTGGGCTTGGGCTAACAAAATTGGACTTGGACTAACATAGTTCATATATTAATATGGACTGAATTTAGATTCAAAAAACTAATTATTTTAATGAAAATACAATTTTTTTTTTAGTTTCTTCAAGGTATCCCTCGGTCAACAGTCGAAGACTAATCCTTTCGAGGCGTGGAGATCACCGAAGTGGATTTTGTCTCTACCAACAATGAAAATACAATTTTAATAACTATTATTCATTAATATATTTTAACATATTTTTTTATCTAATTATAAATAAGAAAAGTAAAGGGTAAAAGTAATATAAATAATTATATTAAAAATATTATTTAATACTAAAACGTGTTAGAACGTATCAAAATATTATTATTTTTGAAGTAACATATCGACGTACCGTGTCGGGGAACGTATCGGAAACGCCGTGTCGGAATCAGTGCTTCATTGGTTAGAGGTGTTAGAGCTGACTCATCTCTGAGTCAGGTCATCTGCTCTTTATAGAGAGCTCAATGTAACTCTTCATTATTGATTGATTCATTCTCAAATATTCAGATTATCATGGGCTCTGTTTCTCATACTTCTGTCTCTCTTTCTCTCCACTTTCTATTAAACCGTGTTAGAATTATGTGTCATTTTCTCTTATTTTTGTGCATCTGTTTTAAATCATTGCCTCTCACATTCCAGCTGGATTTTGTGCATTTTCTGATTCATTTTTGACTGCCCATAGGTTAGGGAACATGCTCGAAAACTTTTAGAGAAACAATTGAAGAAGCCTTTCTTTAATGAACGGTGAGCTTTGCATTTTATAATTATAATTTGTACTATTTGGTCATCTTATGTCATGTTTTGCTTTGTTATTGTTCCTGAAATTTTGAGCGTTAAAATTGCCATGTTTTTTGAAGTTAGTTACCATTCCTTTCATTATGCTTTAGCTTATCCTGTGGTCTGAAGAATTTGGTTATACCTTCTCTGGTCTTGCTTATCTCATGGCATGCTAGCATCTAAGGAGAAAAGAAGTAATTCACGAACTCCAAAGTCATATCTACACAGCATTGCTTTGGGTATTGATAGGGAAATAGATAAACGGATATAAGAGTGGGGTCTAGTAACAAATTTGACTGGGTTGAGATGAGAGATGGGTATGTTACCAGATAGTTAAACAAATGAATTTCTTGGTTTTCTTTTTGACATGGTATCAGTCTTAATAGCCATGTGGCTTAGAGTTTGATCCTTTTTGCTCCTTTCTTTTAAGTTAAATTTCAGCACATTGGTTCAAGACATGGTATTAGAACCTCTATAACCATGTAGTCTAGAGTTCGATCGTTGTTGCTTCCATTCTTATAAGTAAAGGTGAATTTTAGCATAGGGTAGGGTGGGCTTGTGCATTGTCCAAGTTTCAGGCCCAAAGAGCTCTTGCATGAGAGGGTTGTTAGATATAAAACCATTCGTGTGTTTTCACTCTATAGCTTAACCTTTAGAAATAGTTTCATGACAAGATATATATTCAATGCAAATATGGCTGCAACACCTTACGTGACCCAACTTTTCTCCTTGCATAGGGCCTAATTTTATAAACCACTCATCACTAAAACCCGACTAGTGAGGGTACGGGTGAGGGCAATCTTTGCATGCGGTCTTACCTTTACATATTCACACAAAGGCATTTTGCAAGGGACTAATTTTATAATCCCCTACCTTCTATAATCTGCTTAAGGTCATGGATTCGAGAAGCTTCTTTGAAAATATAAGGGTAAGGTTGCATACAATTGACTCTCACTCCTACCCTCACAAAGCTGTGGAGTTTTTGTGCTCCTGGGTTCGCCCTTCCTATATTGATAGGGTTAAAACTGAATCACGAATGCCTCTTGTTGGTTCGAACAATTCATTCTTGGAACCACTTATTTTCTAATTTGTTCAAATCTTGGTACATGGAACCATTATTTAATATTTTTTTTTGCATCAAATAAGAACTTAAGTTGTTATTTTTCCACATCCCCTGCAGTGTTCTAGGCTTGTATTTTTAATAATTTTCATTTTTTTTCCTAAGCTGTATTAGATTTCCACCATTGAAGAAAAAACCAAGAAAGTGAGAGGGAAAGTTGAGAGAGAGAAAACTGAAGAGTCATGTTTATTATACTGCGAATATGAAATCTGAATCAATCCAAAGAGGGAATGAGCTATGTTGCACCGACACGGGATACGACACGACACTCTGACACGTTAATTCTAGAAAATGTTAAATTTCGACACGTTAGGACACATTTTGATATTATATAATATTTTTAATTTATGTAGTGTATATTATATTTAGTATTCAATAATTTAACAAAAAAATAAAGCTAAACTTATAATATCTATCTATTTTTCAAAGAAACATAAGATATCCCAAATGTTTATATTAAACTCAATAAAATCGTAATCGTAATCTAACGAATCTAATAGTTGAAACTCAAAATGCAACGCAACGTAACCTTTGAATCTTTTTTGAGTCTTTGCAACGAGTATTGGAGTGTCGGGAAGTGTCGGAGTGTCGGTGAGTGTTGGGAAGTGTCGGACACGACACATCAGGATTTTTGAAATGTCGGTGCTTCATAGGGAATGAGCTCTATATATAGAGCTGAGGCTGACTCAATGATGAGTCAACAAAACTAACTAGCCAGCCAGCTAAGAAAAACAGTAAGATAACAAATTAACAGATACAGGGGAAAAGAATCAGCTACAGTTGGCACAAGAAAGTATAAAATACTACAAGAAAGCCTAGCTACGCTAATAATCTGTATTAGATTGTATTTTCTGTTCATATCCGACTCCCTTCTGAGAGTTTGAAATAGAGTGGTATCATTACTTTAAGTGGTTAGCATATTAATAAGTGTATTAATGTTTCGTGTATACAGTGGAAATTTTGGTATGCCAAGAGTCCATGTTAAGGGCATGGGACATGGATAATTGGGTGGGGTAGAAATGTTTATACTAGATATAGTTATTAGGATTTGGATACTGTATATGTTAATGTTTATTATGATGGTGATATTCAAAAACAACTTAGGATTTTTGTATTTTTGAGCAAATTGTTACTGAGGTTACTTCAGAGTCATAATTTGTTATCCTAGCAGAATCAGTATTATTTTGATTTTCTCATTGAGAATTTCATGCACTTCAGTTATCAGGTTTGTTGAATTACTATAATTTATTATTGAGTGATTATCCCAACTCTCTCTGTTCTGATTCATAAACTAGCAACTTTACTTTTGTTATACCGTGACCCTTAGATCAGAGAGTATTTGATTATGTTCTTTAACTGTGATTGTTGTCATCATTCTTATGTACATTTATTTGATTATTGGAGTTGACTTGTTTATCTAATGATAGTTATGGCGAAAATGTTGAACGGATGAGTGTGGAGGAATACCAACAGGGCAAGCTCTGGTTAAGTGATACTTTTTATCTCATAAGGTAAGTCCTTTACAATCAACTAAGCTGGTAGTGGTAGGCTGGTAGCACACCATTTTCTTAGAATGCACTGAGGGACAATTTAAGCATCTATCCATGGTTGTGTTGCTTTTATTTTTTCCCCATGCATTTTCGAGCTTGACTGGTGTTATATTTTTTACATTTGGAAAGTTGACCTAATTTATTAATTCCTTGTATAGCTGTCTGTACTTGAGAAGTGATGCATGGTATGATTACCAGTACAGTTTTTATTTGTAATATATAAAATAGTAAGATACAGATCATTTTAAATGAAGTTGAAATCAATTGATATTGTGGCATAGAAGTGAAGCAGGCAGTAGCAATGAAATTGTCGGTGCATGTGACTTGGTTGTTAGACGTTAGAACTGAATCTTCTTTTCTAGTACATTTAATTTTATATATATTTTTTCTTAATATTGGATACCTGGTTTTTAAATTGTGGTTGTGGTAGTGGTCTTGTTGTCGGTAGCGGTGGTTGCAACCGAGGTATCACATCCAAAAAAATTGACCAGAATGATATTTTAATTATGTGATCACATGCAACCGCGATCAGGATTAAATTAGGTAGTGATAAATTTTTCATAAATTTTTTGTAAGTCTCTCCTTAATTTATTCTTCAAATTAGGTGATATATGCAGATCTTAGGTCACTACCAAAGCCTTTGGAATGTTTGCATAGAAATGAATGACCAGGGCTCTTAATGTGAAGTTGTGAATCTTTTGATCTTGGCTTTTAATTTGAATTATGTGAAAAATACTTGCATTTGGCAGTGCTTGTTGAGTACACTATCTAATAACTATCATCCGTTCATTTGGTTAAACTAGTACTTTTACATTAGTAATTTGACTCATACTGATGACTTTTGGTGCTCGGCTACTTGGTTGTTAACACTAGGTGTGAAGATGATTCTCTTCCAAATATAAAGTGGGTCCTTGACCTTGCAAAAGCAGCTGTGTTAAGGCACGGAGTGCGTGGACTTGTAATTGATCCTTATAATGAGCTTGATCATCAGCGACCTCCAAATCAGTAATTCTCTTAAAAACGCTTCATTCTAAGCTAGATTTTGTTTTGCTTTTGTTTATGCATTACTTGAACTCTCTAGAGTACTTGGAATTGCCTGAGAGAATTCCTCTCAGTCCCTATTAATTTATATTAAAGGTTTAGAATTCAAATCCATTATAAAAGATAACTCCTAAAGTGTAGGCATAAGAGACAAGTATATAATACATAATAACTAACCCTCTCTCTTAAGCTGGTGCATATATATCATATGTAAGTTATCCTTGGAGCTTGGAGAGATTGGTGAAGATAGAGAGTTCAGGAATGAAGTAGTGATGTCCCTAGGAATTATCTTCTCTAGTATAAGATGGTAATCAACCCAACCCTTGTGTTTGGTTTGCTCATATGAAAGACTGGATTGAAGGCAATTTGCAATGTAACTTGGTTATCACAAATAAGTTTCATCGGACTTGTCTTGCAAAACCTTAACTCTTGAAGTAATTGTTTTAACCATATAAGTTCACAAGTTGCAAGAGCCATAGCTCAATACGTTGCTTCTGCATTTGGCCTCGCAACTATATTTTGTTTCTTGTTTTTTAGTGCGCAACTTCAAATCTCAAGTACCGAAGTTGACCCTAGTCTAAAGCATTGAGATAAATGCTGTTGTAGACCTTGGATGCCTTCTTGGTCGTTTCCTATAATAACTGATGTCATGCACAGAAATGAGATAGATACATTGGATGAATGTTTATAGAACTAGAAATGATTTGCTTCACTTTGGACCATACCGAACTGCTCTATAACTTCACTAAATTGTCTAAACCATGTTTAAATGGATTGTTCGTAACCATACAGAGATTTATGCAAGCGGCAAACAAGACGGACTCCTATGAGAGTCAAAAATGTGTTCCAGATCTTAAAATCATACGATTTTGCAATCTTTTCATCTATGATCAATCCAAAATGGTTGCTGCATCAGAAAATGGTGGGATCAATCAGGATTGCTGGCGAAGATTGTCACAATGGTGTGATGGCTCAGAATTGCTGAAGAAAATCGTTGAAATGGTGGGATCGAACGATCCCACCGTGTCTTATGATCTGGAAAAAAAACCCACCCAAAATAGTCTGCCCGCTCCTTTTTGGAATAACCCGAAATTCAGCCCATGAAAAAAGAAAGTACCCAAAATCCTTTTTGATTGTCAAAGAGTCAATGAAAAATCCTACATGTATAAATCAAGAGAAAAAAAACAGAGAATCCTTAAAGCAGATGCTGAAACCTCAAATGATGCAGTGGAGTTATGTGACTGAAGAAGATGAAGCGGCATGGAGACTGGTATTTAACTATTTATATCTGTGATAGTGAGTTCAACGAAAGTGGTTTAGGGTTACTTGAGGTTGAGGAGCAGCAATAGATCAGTTGCTAGGGATTGCGAATGGGCAAAGCCCAACAACCAACTGGGTTTTTTTAAAGTGATTTTGGGTCATGACTGGACTTTCGGGGAAGCTGATTATACAGATAGGATTTATAAAAGTCCATTTGAAAAACATTTGGGCTTCATTAATCGCATGTAGGGCCACTGTCTAAATAGCTGATCTATGGACACAAACAGCTGAACAATCTTTAAGCCTTAAAATTGGGCACCTGGGAGAAGATTTAGAAAGGCATGAAACCAAATTGAAAATCTGAAAGATAGAGGAGGAAAAACTCTAATTAAATTATTTTTTATAATCGAAGTTAGGAATATAAGATCTTTACTATTTGTGTAGATACCACAATTTACGATCTTGCCACTCCCTTCCGATCCTAGGTAAGATTTCGAGTTTGACTGCCTTGTTGACTCCCCTTAAGCAACAAACCTAAGTGTAGTCAAGGTGAATAAAGGCATTCTTTATGTCCAATTAATACAGAGGCAACTTTCAGCATCCATTGATAAGAAAAGTCAGACCTCCATTTTAGCAAACGCAGATAAAGTGTCCCATAATCATGGCCAAAAATTTGAGTAGACTTTTGCCACAGGGCGAGCTTTCAACTGGTCCACCTGTCCATGAGGGCACATTTTAACAATAAATACCCACCACAAAACCTACTGTGGATTTTCCAATTGGGGAAGGAATAAGAGTTCATGTGTGATTGGAACCCAAGGCTGCCATCTCATCATGCATTATCTATAATAACTAGGGAGAGGTTATACTTACTACTTTTTTTCTTACTATCTCTTACTACCAAATCTTAATCGTTGATTTCCATCAATTAACGGTTATAATTTATTAGGTCACATTTATTAATTAATTATTAATTCCCAATAAATTATAACTATTAAATTGAAGGAAATCAACGATTAAGATTTGGTAGTAAGATGTAGTAAAAAAAAAAGTAGTAAATATAACCTCCCCCTAATAACTAACGGTTATTTTCATATTTGACTTCATGTATTTGCTCCTTTCTTGGCACAAAAAAGTGGGGGAATAAAAGCCTATAGAAACATTGTTTCATGTTTTGCATTTGTACAACAATCAGTTTATCCCCTAGCACTCTGGGTGTTACCCTGATCATTTTTCATGTTGTGTGCTGACATAAATGTTGTCTGGATACAGGATAGCTAATTGATGTTAATTAATTTGTCGGAACTTGCAGGACTGAAACTGAATATGTGAGTCAGATGCTTACCTTAATCAAACGTTTTGCCCAACATCATGGATGCCATGTTTGGTTTGTAGCACATCCAAGGCAGGTTGGTAACAAACAGCTCTAATTTCATCCTTTTCCATTTTACTTTTTTTCTGATATTCTTACTTCTTATATAATAGCTGCATAATTGGGTTGGGGATCCTCCTAATCTATATGATATAAGCGGAAGTGCACACTTCATAAATAAGTGTGACAATGGGATTGTTATTCATCGTAATCGGGATCCTGAAGCTGGGCCTATGGATCAAGTACAGGTGAATATTTGTAGCATAATTTTGGTGATCTTTTACCATAATAAAATAAATATATACTTACGTAGGCTTTGCTTCAGGTTTGTGTTCGAAAGGTACGGAATAAGGTTGCAGGGACAATAGGTGATGCCTTTTTGTTGTATAATAGGTACTGAGACTCTTGCCCTTGATTATTGTGCTGCCATGCATTCACCTATGGTTTAGAAAAATAAAGTTTCATTATACACATACCACATGATCAACTTTTATTTAGTAATATTAACTCATTTAGAATTTTTACTATAATAAGTTTTTACAGCTTCCATTGGGTTTTTTGTCCTCATTCTCTCCATTCTCATTGATAATATTATGTCTAAAGCCATCTTTTTCTCATCACTCTTGGTATGCTCATGATTTCTAGTTTCTAGGGAGTCATGGTCACTTGCCTTGTGACAAAAACAGCACCTCCCCTCTTGTTTTTTTAATTTATATATATCTTTGTTTTGTTCGGTAGGTTTTCTTCTTTGATTATTTATGAGTAATGACACTGGTAGAGATTTTATCCTTAGAAAACCCTAACAGTCTCTAAGGTGTTACAGTGGACTCATTTGGACCATTTATAAAATGTTATAATGGGATCGAGTTGTTATCTAATGGCTTGTTTGTGAGGGGTCTCTGTGCATGTGTATCATTTTCCTTATAATTTGCATAAGCCCCTTTATTTAAAAAATAAAATAAAAAAAATCTCTGGTTGTTTGTTGGGTTTGTTTAAAGTAATCCGTGGTAATTTTATTTTATTTTGGCAGGGTAAATGGTGAGTACACAGACGTTGATAACAAGAGATAGCAATGAGGCCAAATCATTTTTTGGGTAGATTTGTATAGTCCTGATCCTGAGCAAGTTTGTCTTGAAATGAAGTTACCATATGATACAAGGTTCCTGTCTAAACATATGGCTGGCTATATGATGTTCTTCACTTGGGGTGCCTGCCAGGTTGAGATCAAGAATGGTGGATAACATCTTAACATGGCTTCTCAAATTTGATTGTATAATATCATTATTTTTGCCTGATTATCTTATATGTCCTTTAGGTATCCTTTTATAGTTGTCTTGAGTTACAATTTATTTTAATTTAATTTTGCAGTTCTGCATTTTAATCATTGTATAGATATAGAAAGATTATTTCTTTGTAATGAGCTCTAGTTCATTTTCCTTTAGGTTGTTGACCATTCTGTCTATCAAGATTGCAATGTTCTCTTGGGTCAGTATTTATTATTACTACTAATTTGAAGCATCATTACCGCTAGAAAAATTTGTTTGCACTGTAACACTGGGTGTTTGGTTTATTATTTGGCTTCTTAAAATCAATTCTGCGTTATGAATTAATTTTTTAGAGAAATTGAAAATTTGGACGTTCTTGTGAATAGTATTGATTTTAAATGTGAAATTTATAAAATATTCGGAAGCATATTTTTTTTTTTTTTACACTTCAGAAATAATTTTATTTACTGCTAAAGTAAAATGGACTTTTTAATTTATTTTTCAATCGGTAAGGTTGAAATAATTATATATTTTGTTTATTTTCAAACTAATTATTAACTTCAATTTCTTTGTAATTATGTAGAAATACAATTAAGAAATTAAAATCAAAGAAGTGAGATTTACTATTATAAATCATTTGATAAAATAATAAAGGATTAATATTTTTCTTGCAATTCCAAAAGGATGTTTCGGGGTTTGGAAAAAATACAAAGGGTATTTTATTAAAATCACATGATACAAAAGAAAAGTAAAATTATTAAAATATCTTATTTTCTTCCAAATCCCAAAATGATGGGATTACTGGTAGGGATATAAATGGGTCAGCCGACTGAAAAAGAGTCTATGACTCGGCCTATATTAGATCTATTATGTATAGTCAAATAAAATAGACTTAGATACAAAAAAAAAATTTATTTAGAAATCAGACCATATGTTTTTTTATATATATGTCTGGCTTAAATTATATTATTTATTATAAATAAAATAAATAAATTATTATTTTAATGATTTTGAATATCGAAGTAATATTACTTTATTTTTTTTTTCAATTATTTAATGTCTAATAAGCTTAAACAAGTTAAGAGGCCTATGTCTAGATTTTTGTTTTTTAAATATAGATCAGACCATATCAGACTTATAATTTGAGTATATGTAGGTTAATAGATCATGTTAGACCTATTTATTTAAGCCAAAACTTAGTTCAACCAAATATATTTACACTCCTCGTTGTTGGAGATAAATTTATATTGTAGGAGAAACATTTTTTCCAATTAAATGCTTGAAATATGAATGTGGATAAATTTTACATTTTACATAAGTTTTGTTTTTCAGTATTTTTTTAATTTATTTTTGTAGATTAAAGGACTAATCTCCACGAAAACAACATAAGAAATAAAAATACGGAGAGGTCGGCGAACAGTAGTTAAATCACTTTGGACTAACAATCTACTACCAAGAGGAGGGCTTTGAAAAAAAGTAATTTTCTTCATCAAGATGATTCAATAAGTAATTTGTCATTCAGTGAAAAATAGGTGATTGTTTTTTTGGCACGTGTGAGATTACACGTGCCTGTACTTTTGCCACATGTCAGCATTCTGTCATTTTAGCTGGGCAGCCAAGTGAGAATGGTTGACCATTCAGACGCTGACACGTGTCCAATACATTTCCGCTTGTCAGACCAGTGGGATTGTGACGTGACATTTTGACAAATTTTTTTTTCAGACGTGACAATCAGATAAGTTTTTGTACAAAAAAATGACAATATTCATTGTCCCCTTTATCTGCACCTCTGCATCAGGAAACATACTTCGGTCAAGCAATAAATGATTGTTTATCTCTTCATTTTTCATTCAGTATAGTCCATTTCTCACATGTGAAGAGGAACAGTAATAAGGTAGCACATGGTCTGCTATAAATGACCCTCACATAACAACGAAGTGTAGCTTTAAGATGCCCCAGCACTAGTGTATAATATTGCTCTGTTTGACTTATTGTCTTCATCTTATTGAAATATCTCTTAACTGTCCAAAAAAAAAAAAAACATGGTTTATGGCTATGCACTTCAAAAAATGATAAAAATAATCTGATCATTATACGGTTGCCCATAATCTATGCATAATTAAATAGAGGTAATAATACACCCTTATGAATAAATCTTTGATACTGCTGTACCAAAGATTCAGTGCATTCTACCAATGAAAATATTACATGTCAGTTAAATTTATTTTTTTCTGTCAAATTTTTTTTCTCTCCTCTGATGTGTAATGTTCTCATTGATGAGATGCACTGAATCTTGGTGCAACAGTAGCACCAAAGATTTATTCCACCCTTATATGTATCAATATGGGCCGTCCATCCTTGTATATTTATTTATTTTATACAGAGAATCGTATTTCTTTTATTGTTGTTAGCAAATTACAGCTCATAAAGCAACAACAAAAGAAAGCATGGTTGACTATTTCCCATAACTTGAGTTTATGACATGAATGAATGATACCACCGCATTGGAATTTGATAAATGGGGTGCAATAACACAGCAAAATATTATTAAGAAATCTCTGTCAAAAAATATTGTAATATTATTCTCCTGAAAACAAATCGATTCGATATCTGAAAACAAATCTACCACATGTAATGGTTTGTCGTTAGTCAACTAAGCAAGGTGCTTAGAGACCAAGTCAAACAAAGGAACAAATGTTTGCTAATCATAAGGTGCCACGTTCCAAGCCATTAATAGTCACCTTCTTGATTGGATTTGGGCCCTGGGCCCATTAGTCAGAAAGCCTAAAATATAGGCCCACTGGATTTGGAACCGGAACAATTCAAAACCATCTGTTGCGCAGGTGAGGCCTTTATTTTAGGGAATTATGTATTTACTCATTTTTTTTTTTTTTTTTTTTGTGATGGTACAATTTAACTTTGTGCCTTGCAAGGTACAAGGTGGAATTATGCCTTGTATATGTGACATCACAGCTGAACAAAACAATCTCAAACCAATAAAATATTTATTTCAAGAGATAGATTATTTTACCTACTATTTTTTCTGTCTATTTTTGTCTATCACTCTCTGATACCATTAGATCAGAATCTAAAGAGGAGAGAGAAAGATAAATGTTAATTAAGATTCTGATCTAATGGTCCTTTAAAATAGTAAGCAAAAGTAGACAGAAAAAAAATGGTAGTTAGAATAACCTATCCCTTATTTTAATATCATTTTGATAAAATAATTTTTAAATAATATTGATCTAAGTCAACAAAATTATATTTTCCAGGACATTATTATGTGGGAGAAGAAAAAAGAATAAATAATTTTTAATTCTAAATTTAGTAAATTATAAAGGAATTAATACTTGTCCTTTTAAATGACATAAAACTGTACCATTTTAGTCAAAATTAATGTGTTTTGAGAGAAACAGAAATATGATGGGAGAAAATAAGAATTTTTTTTTAATTTAAATATTAAAATGACTGATAAATTTTCCAATTATAAAAGTTTTCAAATGAGGGAAATATTTAATTAAAAAAAAAAGATTGACCTCTTTTTTCTCTCTCTCTTTAAACCCTTTCCCTCCAAAACAACATAAAAGTTGATTTTTTTTAACAGAAACCATGATGCAAAAAGAAATAAAGATTAAGAAAAGAAACAAAGAAGTTGCATGTATGATGATGATTGGGAATGGTATGGTGTGGGGTGGAAGAAGCATAGTAGTGTGTGATGGTGGGGCCAAATGCATGGTTTGATTTGCTGGCTTCCAGAGTAGCAAAACTCTCGGGAAGAAGAATCTCCCAACGGCTCCTCTGAGGTGGATCCAGTTATGTGACCGTTGGTGGGCCTAACCTCTTTCTCACTTTTCATGTTTCCAACGTTATATAACCCGTACAACACACCACTCTTCTAAACATAACACAAGACAACAACACACAACACAACACAACACACTGGTTTTTTCTATTTTGGTTCCTCCACTCAGGTTTGTTTTCTATTGGTTTTTCTCATTCATTTCGTTTTTTTCACTTCTAAATAATTTCTGGGTTTGTCTCAATTTTTATTTTTTTTATTTTTTGGTTTTTTTTTCAGTCTGTAATCATGACTGCTGAGGTTGTTGCTCAAGAAGAAACCCAAACAGCTGAAGTTGTTGCTGCAAAGGTGGAGAAGGTTGTTGAAGGAGATGATGTGGAACCAAAGGAATCAATGGATGAACTCAAACCCAAAACGGTGGAGAAGAGTTCATCTTACAAGGAAGAAAGCAACTTCCTTTCTGATCTGAAAGAGTTTGAGAGGAAGGCTTTGAATGAGCTCAAGTCAAAGCTTGAGGAAGCTATATTGGAGAACACCCTCTTTGAGAAAGAAAAGAAGGAGGCTTCAACGGTTGCTGAAGAGAAGAAAGATGGTGAAGAGAGTGAGAAACCAGTGAAGGAAGAGGAGAAAAGTGTTGGAGTAGTTGAAAAGGATGTATCTTTGTGGGGAGTATCACTTTTTCCAAGCAAAGGAGGAGAGGGTCTTGATGTGGTTCTGTTGAAGTTCTTGAGGGCTAGAGAGTTCAAAGTCAATGATGCATTTGAGATGCTGAAGAAGACCCTTAAATGGAGGAGGGAATCGAAGATTGATTCTGTTCTTGATGAGGAATTTTGCTCTGACTTGGCCTCTGCAGCTTACATGAATGGTGTTGATCATGAAGGCCACCCTGTCTGCTACAACATCTTTGGTGTGTTTGATAATGAAGAGCTTTATCAGAAAACTTTTGGGACAGAAGAGAAGCGCAATGAATTCTTAAGATGGAGGTTTCAGGTTATGGAGAAGGGTATTCAAAAGCTAAATTTGAAGCCAGGTGGTGTGTCTTCCTTGCTTCAAATCAATGACCTTAAGAACTCCCCTGGTCCCTCAAAGAAGGAGCTTCGAATTGCCACAAAGCTAACTGTTGCAATGTTGCAGGACAATTACCCAGAGATGGTGGCTAAAAATGTAAGTTCCTTTCTTACCTTACCTATTTTGAATTGTTTATTTATATTCAATTGGCAATGTAATGTGCTGTTGTGTTGATATTCAAAGTAATTGATAAACGTGTTTGTTTTTCATTGTAGATTTTCATCAATGTTCCTTTTTGGTATTATGCTCTCAATGCCCTTTTATCTCCTTTCTTAACTCAAAGAACAAAGAGCAAATTTGTGGTTGCTCGTCCTGCTAAGGTCACTGAAACATTGGTTAAGTATGTTCTCCCCTCCATTAACCATTTATGTTATTGTTAAGCTTCAATGGCTATTTCACTAAAAGGGCCTTAATTCTTTTGTATCAAATAGGTACATTCCAATTGAGGAAATCCCAGTTCAATATGGAGGTTTCAAGAGGGAAAATGATTCTGAGTTCTCTGCTCAAGATGGTGCTGTTTCAGAACTCATTCTCAAGGCTGGTTCAACTGCAACTATTGAGATTCCTGCATTGGAGGTACCAACAACTAGTGTATATATAAAGTTTTATGTATTATTCTCTGGTGTGCTTTAGAAATAGGAATATTAGACTAAAAGGTTGTTGCATCTCAACAGGTTGGAAACACTTTGTGCTGGGATTTAACTGTTATGGGTTGGGAGGTAAGTTACAAGGAAGAATTTGTTCCCACTGATGAGGGTTCTTACACAGTCATTGTTCAAAAAGGGAAGAAAATGGGTCCCCAAGAAGGGCCTATTAGGAACACTTTCAGGAACAATGAACCAGGGAAAGTTATCCTCACTATAGAGAACACTTCAAACAAGAAGAAAAGGGTTATGTATCGTTATAAGGCCAACAAGAGCTCGTTCTGAGATACAATTCAGGGAAAGTTCTATTTTTGTTACATTGTTTTCTTAGAATTCAGTAGGTGAAATGTGTGAAGACTGAAGAAAAAGAAGCATTCTTTCATTGTTATTATTGGTTTACATTATGATTTACTATGTATATTTCTTTTTTCTCAAATTAAATTGATTGAAAGTTCATTCATCTTATGTGCAAATAATGTTTGTTATCTAGTCTGCTTATTTTAATGTAAATTGGCTTGAGTTTTTAGCGTGAGAGGAATAATATATTTTCTTAATAATAATTCTCTTGCTACTTTATATAGAAATATTGAACAAAAAAACGGCCAGAGTATGTATATATATAAGAAAATATTTTTCTCATGTTGCATGAGATAATTTATCTTATGCAACACACAAAAAAGTAAGTTGGACCCATTAAAAAGAAGAGAGAAAAAGAAAAAAAGTGGGTCATGCCTATTTTTGTCTGTGTTGTATGAGACAAATATCCCATATACATATATTACACTCCTAAAGTTTTTGTATTTTTACTTTTCATATATATTAATTTTGATTGTGACAAACGCATATCTGGATGAAAGTGGAAGACAACATTGCATTCCGTTAATTTTTATTATAAAAAAAATAATCACAGTTTTTATTCTATTAGAAATCCCACCTTCCAACATCTCATTTTTTAGGGGTATCTCTCAATTAGCTCTCATTTTTACAAAACTCAAGAAATAAGAATAAATCTAAAGGAAAATATATATTAAACCTGGCAAAATTTCGTACAATGCAGTTAGGTGTTTAGAAGGATTCATGGAAAATTGAAGATGGTAGGTAATCTTATTTATCCACGTTTAGTAACGAGAGTTTTAATTTTTTTTTCCATAAATTTGATTTCTGGAAAAATATATATTAAACCTGGCAAAATTTCGTACAATGCAGTTAGGTGTTTAGAATTGTAGAATTCTAGGAAAATTGAAGATGGTGGTAGGTAATCTTTTTATCCACGTTTGGTATGAGATTTTTAATTTTTTTTCCAGAAATCTGCTTTTTACAAAATTTTATTTTGTGTGTATATTTTTTTGAAAATACCATCCAAGAATACCATCGGGGGTTGATATTTTAGGATTCCTATGGTAAATGGGAGAATTTAACGCAACAAAACATAGCATCAAGAAAATTAACCCAACATTTTTGGAAATATTTTTAGCTTACCAAATATTTTTTTAATAATATTCACGAGAAACTCATTTTTTAATCATATTTTTGAAAATCACTTCAAATAAAAAAATTCTCTACCAAAGGCCGTTATTGCCTTAATGGGTAAGATAACAAGGACTTCATGAACACTTTTTTAAAAAATATTTTTTTTAACTTTTTTTGATATTATAATTTATAACTTACGTTGTTGAATCACAATGTATCATGGATCGTTTGATCAATTTTTTATTTTTTTTATTAATAATAGTTTTTTTTTTCTTAATTTAAATCAAAAATCAAATTTTTATTTTTTTATATTAAAAATTATAAATTTTGATTTCAACTTTATCAATTTTTCATTATCAATTTTTTTTCAACTTTATCATGCTTCTTTTTTATTATTCCAAGGGAAAACTTCAAAACTCCCTCTGAAAGTTTAGTCAGAATTACTTACCCCATTCTCCAAAATTTTTAATCATTTACACTTTTACTTAAAACTTTTTTATCACTTTACCCCCTAACTTGATTTTTCATCTAAAGTTGAAGTTAACGGAGTTAGTCTTTTAAAAAAAATACCAAAAACTACTCTTAAAAAAACACACAGCACTGGACCTTACTGATGGCAAGAGATAGTCATTGAGCAATGAAACCCTAATCATTCTGACGCTCCACTTCCCCTACTTCTGATTAGCCGGTAGATGCTTATATAATTCGGGTTCTGAAAGAAACACACAACACTCAAAGATTTGGACCGATAAATCTCTATTCTATTCGTTGTATTTGAGTGATTTGATTCTCTCTATAACAAAGAATAAAACAAAGTTTCATAACACAGACCCTGTATGAAATCAATGGCATTCAAATGCGATCAATGTAATATATAAATATATATATTTCGCAGATTCAAGAACTCACATATATCAAATGCGATGAAAGGATATTTTTTTGAAGCTTGTTGTTGTTTTTCCAGATTTTTTGGAAACCCATTTTTTTTTTGCTGTCCAGACATGTTATCTTATGGATAATAGTTAATGAAATTGGTCCTTTAATTGATTTTTTTGCTGTCCATTTTTTTTACTTGCTGAAAATATTTACACCTTTGGTCCTTTAATTAATATATGGAGCATTGAAAATTGGTTCATCTTTGACAAACGAAAAGTGAAACATATAGTGAGGCTGAAAAATAATTACAAGATAACAAAAAAGGTGTCGAGGGGTAATTCTTTTTTTTTTTAAGGGTAGTTTTGGTATTTTTTTTTTAAAAGACTAACTCCGTTAACTTCAACTTTGGATGGAAAATCAAGTTAGCGGGGTAAGTGATAAAAAAAGTTTTAAATAGGAGTGTAAATGATTAATATTTTTGGGGAGGGAAATAAGTGATTCTGACTAAACTTTCAGGGGTTTTTTTAAAATTTTCCCTTATTTCAAACACCTAAATTTTTTATTTTTTTGGATACAAGTAAGAATTGAACATGTAGCTTAATATTATTTTTCCAAATTCCTCTCTAGACCAATCTTAGTAGCTTGTCTAATTTTAAAATTTTGAGTGAATTTAAGAAAGAAAAAAATATGCATCACATAGAATACTCACTATTTAGTTATAGCTGTCTGTCTCGCAAATGTATTTGGGCCTACGATATGGATCAAATCCAATGCCAAAAACCAATCCCAACCATAATTATTTATTCGATATTAGTGGGCCGATTAAAGGTAAAAAGTCTTATAAAATGCGGACCTCATACAATATGTCACTGTTAGGGTTATTGTAACAATAGCGATACGTAATCTCATCACAAACATTCATCCCGTACTTTTTTATAACCTCAATGGTTGATATATATAACTCTTAATTAATGTTAATAAATTGAGATTGGCTCGAGAACCGGTAAACGATCATATAATCGGCTTGCGTAAAGAAATAGACCGGCTATAATTGAAATTGGTGCAACTTGATGTGACCCGACCGATTTCATGAAAACTGATGACCCCGTCTAGTCCATAAAAAAAAAATTCCAAAAAAAATGTTTATTTTTTTTAAACACTAATATTATCTCAATTATGCACGATGCAAATTTTTTTGATTTGATTTATAGTTAGAGTCTTAGAGATGTTGTTTATTGACCTCAAGCCCCGTATCACGATCATTATATTTTTGTTTGATCTTTTATTAAATAATAATGTGTGATTTATATTAAAATATTTGAAATTTTATCATTTTTTTAGATATTTGAGTATGATTATAATTTTTTAATATAAATTATAGAATTGCATATAATTACCAGGTCATACAGTTCAACCAGTGACTCAGTACCTCAATCAAATTAATGATCGAGTCAGTTTTAATAACATTGCTCTTAACTCTTGTAAACTATTTATGCAAAAAAATTTTAGGCAAGTAACATTATTTTTATTGTAATTAGTTTTTAACTTGTTGGGTCTTGGACGTTTATCTAAAAAGTATTTACCATCGAAGCAATCAGCTTTTTATTTTTATTTGTATTGGTTACTAGGTTCTACGACTTTGAAATTATCATTCTCGACGGTTAAACTTTAATAGTTGTATTTGTAATTTCTTTTTACTTATAATTAAATTTTAATCAATGATTTATGTCAATCTAACGATTATAATTTATTAAAATTTAATAATTAATTAATAAATATGACCAAATAAATTATAATCGTTAAATTGCAAAAATCAAAGAATTTTGTTATAAATATAACCTCCCACTTAAATTAATTAAATGTTTATGTATATCTAAAGAATTAATTCAAGGTAAAAACGTAACTCATAAGTGATGAATCATTTGTAAATAATGACGTGGCATAGTTAGTTAGATTAATCATATTCTGTTAAGAGTTTGTTAGATTAGTCATTAAGTGATTGAGTTAGTTTTAACTATTGAGTTGTATATAAAAACAGTTCTGACTTGTAAGATGAGGAGTAATTTGAATTGATTGAGTTAGTTTTAACTATTGAGTTGTATATAAAAACAGTTCTGACTTGTAAGATGAGGAGTAATTTGAATCGATGAATGCATGTTTCTTTTTCTCTCTTCCTCTCCTTGTTCTTCAAGCTCAGAATGTTCATCATCTTTCCTTCCTTTGTTTAGATGGTATCAGAGCTTGATTGGCTCTGGTATCCACTGTTTCTTTCGCTGCATACATTCTAAGTATTCTCATGGATTTCTCACAATTGTCCATGGAGAATTCTGATGATATACAAAACCATGATCCAAACCAAAACCATAACCAGATTAACCAAAACCATAACCAGATCAACCAAAACCATAACCAGATCCAAAATACAAAAGAAAACCATGTCCAAACACCTGATTTCATAAACAATCCCCGAAATCCTCTATACATGCATCCAAATGAGAATCCATCAACCATACTTGTTTCACCCCCATTGCATGGACCAAATTATCACTCCTGGTCACGAGCTATGAGGATGGCTCTAAGTTCGAAGAACAAATTATGCTTCATAGATGGTTCCATGAAGATTCCTTCCAGATCTGATGATAACTACTCAGATTGGGAACGATGCAACAATACAGTTCTAGGCTGGATTCAGAGGTCGATAGATGATTCCATAGCACAGTCAATTCTCTGGATTGATTATGCAGAAGATGCGTGGAATGACCTCAAGGATCGATTTTCTCAGGCTGATATATTTCGTATTTCAGATTTGGAGGACGATATATGCAAACTGGAACAAGGAAATCGAACAGTAGCACAATATTTCACAGAGTTGAAGATCTTATGGGATGAAGTTGATAATCTGATTCCATTACCAAGATGCATGTGTCAGGTACAATGTT